AGAGGCAGAGGCAAAGAGAGGGAATGTAGACATTATTTCTACTCTAATAGTCTAAATAAGGAAGTTTAGCTTAATATATTTTATTATATTTTATTGCGTTTTTAAACATTTATATTACAATCTAAATAAAAAAAATAACTAGTCTCATATTTACTCAACCTAAAATGTTAGTGTAGAGCCATGAACCATGACTAGACATCACAAAGACATTTAATACCAAACCCACACTAGGCATCATTTAACCCCATGAGCAGAGTCATGTGAGCAGTAATGAAGAGAGTAATCGGTCAATACACTGGATTCTAAACCTTAAGAACGCCCCAGGAAACCATATTATTGATTAATCTGAAAAAACAGTATTAACTGTCAAGGTTATACAGGGTAAAAGCATGGAAGAGTTGGTTTGTGTGGGACAGACACAGAGAAAGGGAGACATACAGTCGAGATGGATATTTCAAACCCTCTTTCAGTTTCTTGCATATTATTTCTCAAAACTGAGAGATGTGAGATTATGTATTCTAGGTTGGCATCATCTGAGGTCCTCTGAGGGGTTGGCATCATCTCTTCTCAGGTGTTCTGGATTATTAAAACCTAATAATGATTAATGATTATATAAAAACAACAATGCTTTTATTTGGTACACATAAGTGCCGGACCGAAAGACCTGTACAGAAAATTTCTGGTACAAATACATGCACATCCCTAATATAAATATTAACTTTGCAGGGCATAGCGCAAAAACCTATGATGTTGAAGAATACGGGTGTATTTATTGATAAATTGTTAAAATAAACAAGTTCAAACAAAACAAGAAGCAAACCAGTTTAAAATGAAAATATATATTCAATATATTTGTCAATATATTCTCAAATGATGAAACACTATCTACAAAAAGTTGTGGAAAGCTCTCATTCAAAAACTAAATGCTGGGAGTTGAGTGCAAAAGCATAATTATAATGCATGTTTATAAAGAGTCATCTTATGGAAACCTTTCGCACCAGATTCAACCAAACTGTCATTTGGTACCTTTATAGGCCACAATTTGGCCAGGCTAACAGGTACCTACTGCCTCTTCAAAATCACAGTGCTAGAAAGAGTCAACAACAGTAATGCTGATGATAATATTGAGGTCAGCAGTCATCACCAATGATATTAAAATGTGGTTTCACTGGGACTTCACACTCTTGCTCATTACAAGCTTTTGAAAGAAAGTCAAATAACCAAACCCTTACCACAATCCACAAAGAGTGTCTTATTTTACAAACATTTTAGTTCTAGAAGACCATCAGCAAGTTCTTTAGTACTAGTAAGTAAAACTGGTCAACATTGTGGCTCAATACTTGTAGGATAGATCTATGCATCCAATGCAATCTAATGAGATCTGATGCAATCAAAATAATGCAATAAAACTAATTTTCAGCCTCTTTTTACATTAACAAGAGTAACTAGCAATTAACTCTGTCACAAGAAAGACAGCTTTATCTAGATCTTATGAACACTGGGAAATTTGTTTCCAATTACAGGGATCATACCACTAAAGAATAGAGCCCGACCGATATATCGTTTTGCCGATATTATCGGCCGATATGAGCCTGTCGCCGATATATCGGTATCGGCGAATATGCCGCCGATATGAACATTTTTTTTACAGAACATATAATGCAGAAAAAATGCTTGAAATGGTGTAATTACTTAGCCTTTTTTTTACTCCCTAATATCGGTATCGGCCCCAAAAAACCCATATCGGTGGGGCTCTACTAAAGAACAACTTAAACTGGCAAAGAACAGTTCCAAAGAATGTGATTTAAACATTAATGTAACTGTTCTTAAATGCTTCTTAATGATTATTTTACACGTCTAAGAGCAAAACTTTCTAATACATTTCTTTTTTAGTTTTACACATTCTAAAACATAAAACAAGCTTGTCTTTCCATTTTGTGGGAAAATGACTTATCCAGATGTGCAGCAGACTGGCTGTCTCTCTCTCTCTCTCTCTCTCTCTCTCTATAAAAGGAGACACACAGGCCATGTGTGTGTGTGTGTGTGAATGAGAGAGCGACCACTCTCATTCAGTACATCCAGACTGCTTAAAGTTAAAAGACTGCTGTTGTGTGGAGGATTATCATGTTTCACAGGCACAAAAACAGAAGATTCAGCCCATAAAATTCTAATCAGATCTAAAAGTATTTCCTTCAGAAGATTTTGTTTCTTGGGCTTCTACACCTTCACAACTAAAACAATGTTATTAAAAACTTTTATAAACCCAAACTTCATGTTTCAATAGAAAATACGTCAACACTGGACAAGAAAGTTTGCTCATCAAGAGCTTTTGAGGGGTGTTAACAATCAAACATAACCCTATATAGTATATACATCGGTAAAATATCACCATTTTCTAAAATAAAGACACATAATGGCTCAGAAAACAGGCCTAGGGCTATTAACACAACCACTTCTAAACCAAGCCACTCTTTCAGTATTTTTAATTGCTGTATTTATGACAGATTTCAAAAGTAAAACTCTATAAGACTTTTTAAGATACAGATTAACAAGGCACATTTAGAGTGATATAAGAGTCCACTATCTCTGTTTGTAAGATAATGCATGTGAATGAAGAGAAAGAGAGAGAAAGTGCCGGCGGCTTGCCCATGGGAGATAGTCTGGTTTGGGTAATCAGAGAAGAGAAAATGCCTGAGTGTTCTCTGAAAACATGACCACATAAAAAATTAAGCACAACAGGGGTCTCCGGTGTGCTTAAAATGCTTTAAAATGCTTTGAAATGCTAGCGGTAGGGCTGCACGATTAATCGCATGCGATATTTAACACGCATCTTATCAGTAAAGCCGGTTCTGTAATCAGCGGTAATCAGTGAACAACGGCTCTGTGTAGTTAATGCTGCTCAATGTGAAAGCACGCAGGTGATGGAGATTTACCGCTGATTACAGAACCGGCTTTCTGACAAGATGCGCGTTAAATATCGCATGCGATTAATCGTGCAGCCCTAGCTAGCGGGCAAACAAACAGACAAAAATATCGAAAATCCAGAGACTATACCACAGAAAAGCCCATTACTGATAATTAACAAGTGGGAAACACCAGACTTATTCTCTTTATCAGCCTTTATGAGTCTCTCAAGCTCTAAAACATAGCTGGTTTCCTAAGACCCATTGTTCTAAGCCCCTGTGCATTATAGCAGGAAACTATTAAGGAGTCCATTTAGTCTCTGTTCTTGGGTGTGTGTGCGACAACAAGCAACTGCTTACAGTAAATATCGGACTGTTGGCATAAGCAATATTTGGCATATGGGCAATATGGAGGTCAGTAAAAAAACAGCTTTGCATAAACTACATTACCATTATGAAGTGAAGATAAAAAAATCTGCATGGCAAAACTCACTCCAGGCCTGTCTCTACTGTGTCAAGGCCTCACACACAGTATTCCCTTTTCAGATCCCAGTGTTGAGGAAGTGGCACAGCCTGGCCAAAAGGCAGGAAAGCCCTAATTTGCATACTCAAAGCATACACTGTGCCAGTCTACTGTCCTAAAGAAGAGAGAGCAGCAGACCCATCTGTGCTGCTGCTGCTCATCATCAGCAGGAGATGGAGGGGGAGGAGGACACTCCATCAGGGGAGAGGAGGGGGTTTAGGGGGATTCCTCATATTATAAGCTCCTCAAACATGAAGGATTTAAACAAACCGGCAGTCTATGAGCTGCTAAATCAATCTGCTGTCTGTCAAGAGGTGAGCTTTGCCAGCCGTATCATTTAAGCAAGTTTTAGCAACCTGACATCCGTGCTTCACCTATAAGTATTCAGTATGATATCTGGATTACATAAATGTCAAATGTGAATTAGTGATATGAAAACGGCTTTTCAATTTCTTTCCTTGCCGGCACATTGACATCTTAATGCACAGACACTTAATATTGCATTACATTATACATTAGCGAGATCATTTAGACTAAAGCAGTCAGAAATAGACAGAAGCCTGAAATAATCTCATAATAAAACCATCACGGCATAAATAAACAAGGTCCATTAAGATTTCAGAAAGATCTTAGAAATGAACAAGATGATGGCTGAAATCACTATCATACAAAGTCTTCAAGCTTCTCAGTTTCTAAGTCTCTCTATAAAAATATAAAGAAAAAAAACAATCTTGAGGTAAGAAAGTATATTTTAATGTCTAATAATGAATGTTAAATGGATGCTAAATTACAGAAACTGTATCATCTAAAGCAGCAAGTTCTCCTGTTCTATTTGATTTATTAATATACATGTAAAAAAAGAATAACTTTCATAACTGACCAGACAGGGAAAGTAGCACTTTAATACATGCACATATATTATTAGAATAAAAATTCTAATATATATTCTACTTTTTTTTATTGAATTAATTCACAAATTAATAAAAACACAAATGACAATAGTGGGATCGATTGTGACAACATCATTGTTTTTGTATTTGACATTAATTTATACAGTTTATGGAAACGTTGTATATTTCTCAACTACTATAAGTTGTATCAGATAAATATGGGAATATTATATCAAAGTTGGAAACAAATGAACCTCAAAAACAGCGAGTAACATACAAAAAGTGTAACGCTCCCTGGTCTCAATATAGAAAATGACACAGGCGCCACTCAGTTCATGTGCTTTGGGAAGCTGCAATGATGCTTGTTGCAACGACAGGCATCACAAAAATGAGACCCGATTTCAAACAGATGGCTTGAGAGTTACAAAACACCAGATCAATGGAACTACGAACATTTAACAAAGTTTGCGTTGTTAAAACAATAATACATGGAAAACTATTTAAATTATAAGTTATTCGCTTTATGGCCGTTACACACTTTGCGTTATTACATGCTAAGGTTGCTAACAGTTAGCACAGGGAATGCCATCCAGGAAGTCGAAGCAAAGCTTCCAAATCTTTATCAAGATCTTTTTAAAGCTACACAGAAGTGATGTATTAGTGAGTGCTAACGGCGTCTCGTACCTTTGGCATCGCTGTTCTCCTGCAGTGTTTTAGCGGCCGCCGTCCATAAATCGCATCCCAGCAGGCAGAACACAATCACGGCAGACCTGCTGCTACTGTCCGCCCCTCGCATTATTGCTGCTCACGGTTGCAAAGATTTTGCTTAACAATGCGGCTTTTCTATGCGGCGGCAGGAGTATCTAGAAACTCGTAGCAGCTGAGGTTCCCTGCCATAATTTGGTGTTTTAGCAAATCTGCTCATGTCATTGAACACCACAACGGGCGATTAGAAAACCCCTCCGCTCAGCATCCCCGTGTTGCCGCTGTTTTTCTCCACAACTCGACACGAAACAACGACAGAGAGCGAGTCAACTCCACCAGTTTAACCATTTCAATGCCAGTAACAGATGGCGCTGGTCTGTCCTACAGAAAGAAGGATTAGACCTCCATCTACTGTCCAGTACTGTTAATTACAACAGCTGTTAAACTTTTTGACTCGAAGGCCTCCCATTCCAAGCTGCTTGTTTTCCAACTTTTCATTAACGGAAACTGGGTGTAAGGATATATTAATTAACCACAATGCATTTTTAAATCAAAAATGTCAAAAACTAATATTTTCAAAAGAATAATTT